GGCCATATGAGCAGGAAGTCCTTCGCCTTGCCGTTCCATGGCACAAACTTCACGCAGGTCATGAAGTTTATGGTCCTGATGGCTTTGTAGATGGTTATGTAGCTGTCAGTGTCTGGTCGGCAGGCAAAGTGAGATGCACGATTAAAAATTGCCACTCTTCTCTCGCGTTTTGGGCACCTGGTTCATCGAAGCACTCACCATACAAAGGACTTATGACGTACGGGACGGTCCTGTTGGGCCAGAGGCGGTCCGGGAAGATGTCCCAGCGGAGGCCGACCCTCCAGTAGTCGTAAGTCTGGATCAGAAAAATCAGCTCTCGTTAAGCGACAGAAAAGCGTCACAGGAGCGGCAAGCGAACAAAACTATACCACGTTTACAAAAAGGAATACTTCATACGTCACTGCTCATGGCCATGTCGCCCTCCATGAGCCCGGGCACCACTTCTGGGTCCTGGCCTGAGGCCTGGAGGATCTCCAGGTCCTCCGAGTTCATCCGGACTGCAACAAGAGCGCTCACTATCAGTCGCCCGGGCAGCGGCAGCGCGCCTGGGCAGCGCGGGGTAGGCAGCCGACACGCACGGGTGATGGGCGGCCGGCCTACCCCGTGCTCACCCCGGGGGCCCTCAGAGGCTTTCCTTACCTTCGTCCGGGACCACGGGGAACACCTTGTCGGGCACGTGCGGCACCCTGGCCGGCGCCCGGGCGCGAGTGCGGGTGCGGGGCGCCGAGTGGCCGGGCGACATGGCGGCGGCCGTCAGCAGCAGCGCGACCAGCCTCATCGTCACCGGCGGACCTGGAAGCAGCAGAGGACGGCGTCGTCACGGAGGCAAGAGGCTGGATCGTGTTTGTAGCGGTGTACTGGTCGGGCCGAGGCCGGGGCCGCCCCTCGCCGCACCGGGACCCAACGCCAGCAGTTTGAGTTGTAAATTTGATGCTGCATGTGGAATGCGCGGCCGGCCCGCATCAACGCGGCGCACCTGGCATTGTTTTTTTGTTTTTCGTGTTCGTTTTTTTGTTTTTGTTTTTTGTATTCATTTGGGGAGGAACGAGGGGGTACGAGGGCAACCGCAACAGTCCGGGCCGTCTCTCCTCCTCGCTCGCAAGTGGCAGCGGCGGCGGCGGCAGCGGCGGCGGCGCCAAAGAGCCGCCAGCCGCCACCATACTACCGCTAGCGGCGACTCTCTAAACGGCCGCGCAAACAGCCGTAAAAATCGATATAAATGTAAATTTGGCGCGCAGAGTGGTTCCGATGCGCCCCCCCCCCCCCCCCCACCTCCTCCTGACGCTATCAGGCAGGACGCCGCCGCCGCGCCGGCCGCCGTCAGGTTGGGGCAACATAGCGTCGTCGTCGGGCGGCTTTAGTCGGGCGGGCCGTCGCGTCGCTGAATGAACCGTTATACCCGCCGACTGGGGCGTGGACGGGGGGGAGCAGCGGGGGGCACGAATATCACCAGCGCAGGTCACGGCGGCGAAGGCCGCGTGTGCGACTGTGATACCCGCGCCGCGCTCGCTCGCGGCTCGCGGCCACCGTGTGCGTGTGTGTCGCACCGAATGAGGTGCGCGGCCCGCGGGCGCGGCTCCCTCGCGCAGCCCTTCACGGTGCTGCCGCGCGCTCGTGTGCGGCATCGGCGCCCCGCCCGCTGCACCCGCCCGATGACCGTCTTTATGGATTTATAATACATATAAGAGAGTCGGTGCGCGCTGCATAGCGGTCACGTGCTTCGTGTTCGCGCAGACGGCGCGCGCACGCCATACCTTGCCAGGCCGGGAGGCCGGCCGCCGCCGGCGATCCGAGGTGAATGTTCTACTAATCGCGTTCAATTGCAGGCCAATCCCTTTTTGCCCCGGGCAGTTCAATCGGGCCCGGCGTCTGGCGGGGCGGGGCGGGGCGTACTAATCGCGTTCAATTGCAGGCCAATCCCTTTTTGCCCCGGGCAGTTCAATCGGGCCCGGCGTCTGGCGGGGCCGGGCGGGGCCGGGCGGGGCCGGCGAGCGACCTGCTACAGCGGACGGGATGACGGCGCGCTAAGCCCACCTGGACTTCCCTTCTGCCCCTGACGCGTGTCCCCAGCTCCGCTATCCACCACCTCCTCGGCGTGGCCGTGCTGCTCCACTCAAGGTAGATGCCAGGAAGGACGCGGCGGCCTACCTTCGGTCCCTACCTCAGAGTAAAGCAGCGCCGGTTGGCGAGAAAACAGGCGTCGCCCAACGACGAGTGAATGTTTTTTTGCTTAGGGGTCATCCAGAAGGTTCGG